TTGAAGTAGCTGTACACGCTGCATGTAAAAGCTTGCTTATAAATTTGTGCTGCTGCACGCTGTGCTGTCGCTGCAGGTGGACACATTCTACTACCAGAACTACTATTGGTGGTGTGGTCGAGCGAGTCGTGTGCAGCAGCAGCGGCAGCAGTAGCAGCATGGGGTCGAACTGTTGTGAGTGTGCATGTGCAATTTTGCTTGTACATGTCGCGTGTTTTTGTTACTGGCGCACAACACACGAGGTAACAGATCGTTGCTACAGCGAGGTTTTACCGTTGGCGAAGTTGGCGACAGTTGACAGTTGATCTTTTACATCGTTTGGTGTGCGTGGCGTGCGTGGTGTGCGTGGCGTGCGTGGTGTACACGGTTGTCCTCCGTGTGTGGCCGCTTGCAGTGAATCGTCCTCATGGCAGGGAAAGGGCAGCGCGGTGGTGTGTACGTATGTGGGAACCGTCAAGCAGTTGAGGACGAGCGTCATGTTTTGCTTGAGTGCCCTGTGTACGCGAATATTCGCACCAAGCTATTTGAGCTTGGAATGTCTCCTGAGGACCGCATGATAGACGTTATGGGCGTTGAGAACCAACGCGGACTAGCACATGTTTTGGATCATATCAGAAGATGCAGGTTACAATTTATTGATGATTAAATATGTTTTTACAGTAAGGTTAATTTACTACCTTTATATGTTCTTGTTTCCAGTTCGGCGGTTCATGAGCCTCTTGGCTCGTTTGGACCGTACAAGCTTGAAGCTTGTAACACAAAAACGTGAAAAACGTGAAACGTGTCCTCCGTGTTATTCGTACGAATTCATTAAGCAGCCCCTCGCAGAAATGTGAGCGGTCGTACTCTGCCGAATAAACGGTTCGTACATCGTCCAAAAAAGCCAGGAGCGAATTTTGCCGCGCGGATGCGCGCTTTCGATTCGCAAAATGCGCCTGTACAAGCGTATATAATTTTCCTTGGCGAAGAAAGGACGAGGTGCGCGACCGTCGCGCTGTTGGCCACAGCCGCACGCGGCATGCAGGCCGCAAATGTGGGGGGCTCCTGTGCCGCAATGAAAAGAACGGAAAAAATCATGCAACGTAGTTTGCAAGGCTTGGCTCAGGCACGGCCGCAGGAAGAGAAAGCGTCGAGCGAAACGACACTGCTGTGCAAGTAAGCGGTCGCGCCTTTGGTAGCGCAACGTATACAGCACCTTGTTGGAAGTGGTGTCTAAATATAATGTTCGCAAGAATACATACCAAAACACAAGTAAACTTAAAAACAGAAAAGGGCTTCAGAGTTTTGTCGGCGACATGGACGGTGCTGCTGACCTGGAACAACTATTTGCTGCGCATACGGCCGTGCCTGCGGCAGCCGTGTTGCAGCAGCTCCGAATGGACTTGAGCCAGCAGCAGGCTCAAGACCTGCTGCACAACCACCGGGAACATCTGCAGTTGCGCACGTGCAGCTTTGGTCGGCGTGGCCGACCATCCTACGCAGTGCGCACGCAAGCCGAGGTGCAGCGACTCTGCCACTTTGCCAACGTATCAGGTACGCATTGGCAGGGTAGCCGAGAATGAAATGAGTTGGTCCACTAAGCTTGCATGTGCGCCAGCAGATGAAGACATGGCGCACTTCTGGTCGACGGGTGTCGGTCTGCGTTTACAGGGTAAGGCAAGATGGAAAGGTCGAGGCAGTGGCTTAGGACCTGTTGTCTGGTATAGCTCACAGTAGTCCGCCTTGTTTCAGTAAGTAAGTAAGCGTGAACACTGATGCCATGTCCTATCCTGGCGACTTGGTGTGATGACGAGTGTATTCCAACCGCCAAGCCTGTTCAAGTACAGCTACATCGCCTGCTGAATCGTCCGCTGCATATGACCTTATTGGACAGGTCTGCATGGTGCAACTGTCGTTCGTGCAGCCCATCCTGTTCATGACTCAATGTCCGAGACCGGTACCGCCGACACGTCATCCATGCTCGTCGATTCACAACCAGCCCGCGATAGCGTAGGGAATGTAGAGCCATCCCGCGGCACAGGTAAGCGCGTGCCAGGGTGGGCATGTGATTTGCGGAGTGTCGCGGGCTGTGCTGCATTTGCGGAAAT